CGTGGGTCCTAAAATATTACCCTTCCCTGTAAGCACTTCTAACAGGCTCTTAGCTTTTTTGTCAAGTTTTTTTTTTTTTTTTTTTTTTTTGAGACAGGCCCTCATATAGCTCAAGCTGGCCTCAAACTCCTTATGTAGCTGAGGGTAACCTTGACTTCTCTGATCTTCCTGCTTTCGCCTCAAGTTCTGGGCTTATAGGGATACACTATCACACCTGGGCTGATAGGGATGCACTAGTACACCTGGGCTGATAGGGATGCATTATTACACCTGGGCTGATAGGGATGCACTATTACACCTGGGCTTATAGGGATGCACTAGTACACCTGGGCTGATAGGGATGCACTAGTACACCGGGCTGATAGGGATGCACTATTACACCTGGGCTTACAGGGATGCACTAGTACACCTGGGCTTATAGGAATATACTATTACACCTAGCTGGCTCTTGGAATCAGAATCAGATGTTCCCTGCTCAGGGTCCAGTGATTCTGAGAGGGCAGAAGGGAGGAAGAAAAGGGAGGGAAGGAGGAAGGGGAGACCGAGTTCTGCTCCCTTTCTTTAGAAGTTTCAGATTTAGGAATCTGAGGCCCTATAAGGGAAGAAAAACACAAACCGGCTTCTCTTGACTCAGTTGTCTGCTGACATTTCCCCATCAGGGGAATCCCCAAATTTGCCCCAGCATGAGTTTTCTTGGGGTATGCTCAGTTGTGTGGTATGGTTATGTGCAGTACAAGTGTGTCTGTTACATAGCCACACACAACCGAGCTGCTGCGGTTTGAATATCAAATATCTTCTACTTTGGGAAGTACTGGGAACCTTAGGAGGTCGGGCCCAGTTGAAGGAAGCAGATCTCTGGGATGTGTTCTTAAGGGCGGTATCTTTTCCTTGGTTCCTTCCTGTCTCAGACTTCCCGCCCACCATGAGGTGAGCAGCTCTCTTTTGCCATATGTCCTACGCAAGCACATGGGACAAGTGACCATGGACCAAATGCCCTACAATCACAAACTCAAATCAATCTCGTCTTGAAGTTGTTTATGTAAGGTATTTCATCACAGCACTATAAAATGAACTCATACAGAAAATGGGTACCAGAGAATCAGGACAGTTGCTGTGACTATATGACAATGTGGATTTTTAGCCTTGGGATCTGGTTTGTGATCCAGGGAATTTGGAAGAGAAAAAACCTAAGATGCCGTAAGTAGAACTTAATGGGAAGTTCCTATGGGAATGAAGACCAGGATTCTGAGAGGATGTGGTCAGTTGAGGCCAGGCTCACGTGGTTTCAGAGGGGAACAAGGACTGAAAAATGGACTAGAGAGCCAATCCTCTTACATTCCAGCAAGAGGATTTGAACTCAGGTCCTCATATTCACACAGCACTTTACCTACTGAATCATCTCCCCATCCGTGAACACTTGAATCCATCAGGACTTGAGGATGGATTGAATGCATTTTGTATTATGAGCCTCTGGGGGTCCGGGATGGATTATTATAGAGTATGAAATGTCCACATATCCACAGTATTAGAGGTTTCATTGCTAGCTGATGGGTTTTGGGGAAGTTATTGGATCTTAAGAGCTCTGACCTAATGAATGGATTTATCTGATGAATTACTATATTCCTTTGGAGGTGGTCAAAGAGTACGAAGTTTCTGCCTAGTTGGAAGAAGTAGTTCACTTGGAGTATGAATTTGGGGGCTGTATCACGCCCTGGTCCCCTTTTATAACCTTTGTTGTTGTTCTTTGTTTATTTTGTTTTTTTTGAGACAGGGTCTCCCTGTAGCCTCGGCTGGTCTGGAACTTGCTCAGAGATCTAGGCATGCACCATCATGTCCCACATTATATCTGTTTTTAATCTGTTTTCAGTCTGCATGGTTAACGGTCTCTTCCACATGCTTCAGCTACCACGACATTCTGCCCAAATGCATGGAGTCAAGCAACCATGGACTGAACCCTTCGAAACCATGAACCAAAATAAACCCTTCTTTAAGTTGTTTAGTATTCTGCTACAGTGAATAAAGGAGCTAACATAACAGTCAGAGGCAGGTAAGATGGAACTAGAGCAAAGGTAGCAGAGACAAGGGAAGCCCTACTGCCCTCACTTCCCACTGCTTCTGCCTTACAAAGGTGCCGGTAGAGCTCTGTCAGCAGACTGGCAATGACGTCAGGCAGTGGACCCAATGCTAGAAGAGGGACTTGAGGAGAAATCTGAACTTAGAATTCCCTCTAGCAACCAAAGACTATAATAGAAAGAGGCAGGTTAGGGGCCTTGTATCCCATCATGAAGGGGTGACCACATCTCTTTTCTTAAACAGCCTTTTGGTCACTTACTAATAGCAAACTCTTCTACTCTCTGAAGTTTTGCATTTGAAGGATCAATCTAGTTATGAGTCTCATACAGTATTAGGTCTGTCCTGCTGGCTAAGCTGGGCCCAGACAGCTAGCTGCCTGCTGAGAGCGATGAAAAGTGTTTCAGTCAAAAGCTTCGGAGGGGCCTGGGGATGTGGCTCAGTTGCTGGAGTGCTTACCTAGTATGCAAACGTCCTGGGTCCCATCCCTAGCACCAGCATAAACCAGGTATGGTGGTACATGCCTATAATCCCAGCACTCAGGAGGCAGTGGAAACAGAAAGATCAGAAATTCAAGGTCATTCTCAGCTCCCTATCCCCACAACCTCCCCAAAAGCTTCAGAGGAGGCTGCCAGTAGAAATTTGGGTGTGTATGTGTGTACATGATGCATACACATCAGAGGACACTACTATGCCATGGAGGAGGCAGGAAACAGAGCTAAGAAGAATGATGGGAAAAATAGATAAACAGGAGGGGGAAAGGCAAAGAGACCCCAACTTAAGAAGCAAAGATGGAGGGGGCCTTTCTCAGGCCAGATGTTCCACTTGATTCTTGTTGCTTTGTTCCTTTGAGGCCTGGTCTTGCTCTACAGGCCAGGACAGCCTCAAACGCATGACCCTTCTGTCTCAGTCTTCCTAGTGCAGAGATTATAGGCCCGTGCTATCACACCTGGCTGTTAACCACTTTTATCATTCAACCACTACGTCTCAGTGGAAAACTAGTGTGAGAACTAACAGGGGTCTAAGAAGAAAACACAGCTCCACAGAGACTGCACTGTAGAGCAAGACCTATGGTGGGAAATTAGGCTTCAGGTGTAGAGAGGCCCACTCTAAGGGAACAATGTAGTAGCCAACACTCTTAATCCCAGCACTCAAGAGGCAGAGGCAAGCAGATCTCTGTGAGATACAGGCCAGCCTGGTCTACACAGTGAGTTCCAGGCCAGCCTGGACTACAGGAAGACCTTGTCAGAGAGAGAGAGAGACAGAGAGAGAGAGAGACACAGAGAGAGAGAGAGATAGAGAGAGAGAGAGAGACAGACAGAGAGAGAGCTCATAGACAATTCATGACAAGAACCTTCCCAGAAGCTGTATCTCTTCCTCAAGAGCATACTGATGACATCCAGGGATGTCTTTTGTCATTATCAGGAAACACCATTTTATTTTATTTAAGTTTTTTTAAAAATTATTTCATTTCATTTATTTATTTTTTGATCTTTTTGAGACAGGGTCTCCCTGTAGCCTCAGCTATCCTGGAACTCACTATGTAGACCAGGCTGGCCTTGAACTCACAGAGATCTGCCTGCCTCTGACACCTAGGTTCTGCGATTAAAGGTGTGCGCCACCACGCCCGGCTATAAGGAAACACCATTTTAAATAAAATCAGTAAACAACACATCTCTAAACTTAACAGTGGGAATTTGTTTTGGCAATGTATTGAAATGAGACCCACTTCTGGTGTGTGGGCCCAGCTTAACCAGCAGGACGTGGTCATGAGGACTTGATGTTCACAGAATCCAGAAAAGGTCAAATACAAAGGTCAAATGAGGCAGCGTTTGCCCAGTGTGGTTCAAGGAAGACAAGATAGCACTGGGCATGTCTGAGAACGCTGGGAAGACAGGAGATGCACCCCTGCCCGCAGGCCCTGTGCCCAACAGCACTCCCTTCTCACTGCACATCTGCCTGGAAGTTCCTTGATGGTGGGAATAGGTTGCCGGATAAAACGCAGGACTGCCAAGCAAGTCTGAATTTCAGAAAAATGACAAATTGCTTTCATTACCAGTTGAGCATCATTCATCTGAAAATCTAAAATTTGCAATGTTCAAAATCCTAATGAGTTTTGGATTAGGGAGAGTCAATCAAGGTTAAGTCTATGAAAATATTCCAATAGTGTCACTTTTTAAGCATTTGCTTAAATTTTTTTTCTTTTCCCCTTTTGAGAGAGGGTCTCTGTAGCTCCAGCTGGCCTGGAACTCCTTATGGAGATTAGGCTGCCCTAATAGAGATCCACCTGCCTCTGCCTCCCCAAGTCCTAGGATTAAAGGCATGCGCCATCATGCCTGGCAAGCATTTGCATGAGAGACACCTGGTTTGTCCCTAGGTATTATTTAGTACTTTTAAAGTATTTAATCTTATGCTCATATACATATACGCCATGTAATTTTGAGGACACACTTACACTACTAGAGAATTTGCTTCTTATCTGTAGTTCAATTTTACCTGTGCATCCAACATTTTTACTTCTGGCACCCACTACTGTAAAACACTAAGGCATGAGGTATATGCTTGAATGCCCCCTTTCTGAATCTATAAGGGTGTCTTGTACAGGGCAGATCCTCAGGACAGTCTAGGGATGACGCTGAGCTGGGAGCACCTTACAGCAGGTCACACTAGCGCCAAGCTCACCCGGTCCAGACCTTATGAACCTCATGTAAGGAGTTCGGCTTTTGGTAGGTCTTAACTCCACAGGTGGTCTGGGTTTCTAGTTTGCCCAAAGTGGATTCATTTTAAAGAGTTTCCTTTTAATCAGTACACATACATACACAGTAAGCTGTACTGGGTGGGGACAAGCAGGCAGGAGGGCAGGTGGTGAGGACTTTGGAACTGGCCAGAGTCCTGAGGGATAGGACCCTAACATTCCTGGAAACACTCACCTTTGACAGCTTGCTGGACATAGGCTGTTGTCCCATCACTGAGGGTCACCGTCTGCAGCCCCAAGCTCTCCATGTCAATCTGCTCGTGCCCTCAGACATGAAGTTGGCTTCTGGCCACCACTGAGAGCCACAGCTGAGGTCAGAGATTTACTTCTGGGTCACCAATCTGAGAAAATGGACATCATCATGTAAAAAAGTAGTACAGCTTCCTCCTGCTGAAGCAGCTAGTGAGGCTGGCCAAGAACACACAGGCCAAGTGTTCAAAGAGAACTGTTGGTTTCTATGGAAAGGTTGCAAAATATACATATGGATTCTAAACAATAGAAATATGCCAGTCAAACTGATTGTAAAGTAGGGCTCTACTGATCAAAACCCACTTTGAAACTTGCTCCCTGTCAGAGGCAGGCGGTCAGTCCCATTGCTGCTGATTCTCTATGCCCACTCCACATCACTCCTGTGCTGAATCACCCCACCCCCTGGCACTGTGGATCACTCTAAGAGATCACCCTACAGGTAACACATGGACAAGACCCCAGCAGAATTCACAATGTCCCTTGCTCCCCAGAACTATTCACTTACCCAGTATCCTCACCCCCAGGATGGCCCCTCCATCCATTCAGTGATGGGGGTCAGCCTTGAGTGCTTTCTCCCTACAAGTCTAGCTATCTGGGGCTGAAGAGATGGCTCACAGGCCAAGGGTACTTGCTGCTCTTGCAGAGGACCCCAGCTCGGTTCCCAGCACCCACATTGGGCAACTCAGGACTACCAGTAACTCCAGTTCCAGGGGATGACACCCTCTTCTGGCCTCTGTGAGCACCTGTATGCATGTGATGCACATACATACATCCAGTCACACACAGACATACACATAAAATAAATATTTTTAAAAGTCTAGCTACTTATTTCAGGCAAGCAGCCCCTTTTCTTGGTCAGAGCCTCCTAATTGCCCTCATGTCTGTTTCAATTTCTTAACGAAATTTTTCTATTTTCATTTTATGTGTATGAATGTATTGCCTGAATGTAGGTGGGTGCACCCATGTCACACTATGCCCATGGAGATCAGCAGAGAGCATCAGACCCCTGGAACAAGAGTTACAGATGGTTGTTAGGTGCTGTGTGGGTGCTGCAAACTGAACCCAGGTCCTTTGCAAGAATAGTCAGTGCTCTAAACTGCTGAGCTATCTCTCCAGTCCCTTTTATTGTGTTTTTGAGACAGGGTCTCCCTGCAGCCTAGGCTGGCCTGGAACTCACTATGTAGACCAGGCTAGCCTCAATCTCACAGAGATCCACCTGTCTCTGCTGCCCGAGTGTTGCGATTAAAGGTGTGTGCCACCATGACCAGCGTAGAGTGACTTAAAAAGTTTTTAAATTTTATGTATATGAATGTATTGTCTGTTTGAATATAAGTGCACCCATATTGTACAATACCTGTGGAGGTCAGAAGAGTGCGTTGGATCTCCTGGAACTGTAGTTAAAGACAGCTGTTAGTTACTGTGTGGGTGCTGGGAACTGAACCTGGGTCCTCTGCAAGAGCAGCCAGTGCTCTTAACCACTGAGCCATCTCTCCAGTCCCCTAGAGTAACTTTTTAAAAGTACAAACCTAAGTATGCTGCTCCCCAGTTAAAGCCCAACAGCTTCTTTGCAGGCAAGGAAGTGCAGGCTGTACTTTCTCCTGGTGCTGACAGGCCTGGGCTCACCTTCGGCAGGACCTAGAAGGCTATCAGCTCAGCCTCTGTGGCCTACCCAGGATTCACATGGCTTCTGGTGGTTGTTCCTACACCACATGCTGTGGGCTGTGCACAGGAGGACTCACCATGCTCTCCTGGACCAGTGGCATGTAGTTTGCTCCAGGTGTCGATCCCCACACTGTGAGGCCTGACAGGAGCCCATAGCCTCTGCTTTTGGTCTAGTTAGGATTCTATTTTTAAAGGTATTTTTCTTTTTACATTTATTTAGTTATTTATTGGGGTGGGGCATACATGCATGGAAGTCAGAGGATAACTTGTAGGAGTTGGTTCTTGCTTTCCATCATGTGGGTTTTGGGGATTGAACTCAGGTTTCAGGCTTGGCCGCAAGACCCTTTGTCAGCAGAGCCATCTTGTTGGCCCTAATTAAGATTCTTTCTGTTGCACATCCACAGACTCCCCCTGGACTGCCTACTTGCTCCTCAGGATGCCCCAGATGATAGCCAGTTTTCATGTCAGAGAACCAAGAGAGAAAGATATTTGTGGGGTTATGGGTTTTTGTTTCTGTTTTTTTTTGAGGGGGACAGGGTCTTCCCTAGCTCTACCCAACCTAGAACTCACTGTGTAGACCTGGCTGGTCTCAATCTCACAGAGATCTGCCTGCCTCTGCCTTCCGAGTGCTGGGACTAAAGGCGTGCACCACCATACCTGGTATGAGACAAGGATATCTATATGCCACACGTATGTGTCTTGAAGCCAGAAGTGACCAGTTGGGGCTTTGGCAGCCTCAAGAGTTGAACAAACCAGTATCTTGCCATGTCTATAACCCATCTGTGACAAACTGGTTGTGACATTCCACCCAAAGCTTGGCATTGTCACTAGAATTTCTATTATGTCTACATTTATCAGATGAGCCCTGCTCCAGGAAGCAGCATCACCAGCTGCCAGCAGTGAATGTTCCTGGGGAGCCGGTAGAGTTCTGAGCATGTCAGCATGCTGACAACTCTACTTTGGTTCCATTATCTTCCCTATTTCTTTTAAAAAAACATTTTATTATTTTTATTTTATGTATATGAATGCATTGCCTGCATGCATGAGTGCACCTGTGTCATGCAATGTCCGCAGAGGTCAGAAGAGGGTGCCAGACCCCCTGGAACTGGAGTTATGAACAATCATTAGCTGTCACATGGGTGCTGGGATTTGAACCCAGGTCTACTGCAAGAACAGCCAGTACTCTTAACCACTGAGCCATCTCTTCAGCCCCTATCTTCCCTATTTCTAGAAACATTTTTACTTTGTGTGTGTGTGTGTGTGTGCGTGTGTGGCTTGATAGCAAGCACCTTTATCGGTGGAGCAGTCTCACCAGCCCTACCTTCTCTCTTTCACAGATAAGTCCCAAGACAAATAACTTGCTCAAGATTACATAGCTACTAACTGTGAGGGGGGATTTGAATCCAGGTCATCTGATCCCAAGCGACTCTCCAGTTCACTACCAAGCTGCCAAGTATAGAGGCTCTTGACCAGTGGATTTATGATCCCTCCAGCCACTAAGAATACTCTTGAAGCATTGGGCCTGTATATTTTTCTGAAGACGATATCCAAGGCTGTCTTGGAGTCATAGAAAGATTAAAGGTGAACAGTCACTAGGAATTCTGACATCTGACCCACCTTCTCCAGAAGTGATCCCAGCCCTGCTCACATCTGACAAAAGCCCGGGCACTGACTTGTCTTGGTCAGCTCCATGACCCTCAAACCTCATTTTGTAAGAGTCTTCTTACGACCACAATGTATCAGAAATGAGGACATGTAGGAGCAGGTCTAAATACAAAGCAGACTATAGGCTGAAGCATTGCACAATGGTCTCAGCCTTTATGGCAGAGCTGTGACTCCTGCAGCAATAGCTGGATTAATTCAGCATGCCTGATCCCCACTGGACTCTGCAAGGAAAGTCTGTGATGCGGTTAGAAGCACAGGTTCTGGTGCAGACAGCCTAGGCGCCAATCCAGGCTCTATCTCTGAGAAGCTGTATAGCCTTGGGCAAGTGAATGAACGTCCCCAAGCCTCAGCCGCCAAAAACGGGGATGACAGTGACACCACTCTCTATGTGGCTGTGAGGCCTAAGTGAGGTCATAAGTGCGCCAGTTAGCACGGTTGCTGGCGCTGAGGAAAGTGGGGAGCAAGACATGAGCTTAGCTTATTCCTTCACAAAGGAAATGTTTTAGGAGCAATGTGGGTTGTTTGCTTTAAGGCGAGTCTCACTCTGTAGCCCTGGTTGGCCTGAAACTAACTATGCAGACAAAGAACTCACAGAGATCTGCCTGCCACTACCTCCCAGGCACTAGGTATGTGCCACCATACCCTGCTTTTCCTTTTTTTGAGACAGTCTGTTGTCCAGGCTGGTCTCAAACTTGTGATCCTTCTGCTTCTGCCTTCTGAGTAGCTAGGATTACAGGCCTGAGCCAGTCATGGTGTATTGAGTGTAAGGGACCAGACCCTTGACTGGTAGCTGTCTGTCTTCAATCCCTGTAAGATGCAGACTCCCTTTCCCATCTTTAAATGATGGTTCCCTCAGAATCCTCTTACATAAGCCACAAACTAACAAGTGACATGGGCAGAGCCAAAGAGATGGCTGTGTGGACAGTTCAAATTCTGAGGCGGACAGACGAGGAGGGAGGTTATCAAGCTCTGTGATGACCTGATTGGGGGTGGGGCATAAGGGGGTGGTGGATGAGTGCTGACAACAGGTCAGACTGAAAGGGGGCATTCCTGACTCCCAAAGCAGCCACAAGCCCACTTCTGTTTGCTCCACATCTTTAATGAATTTAACCTGTTGGGTCTGACAGAGAAAGTAATCTCATCTCTTCAGGATGTACTGATGTGCTTCCTACTGTAAAAGCACAAATACAAAGACAAGTTTTAGAAATACTTTGCAGATGCTGTGGATCACTACTCTAGGTTTCTTCATGAAGCAAGCCATGTGTAAACTATCTGCTCAGAGCAGAGAAATGCAGGATGTGAAAGACAGGATACTACAGAGCACATGTGCACCGCGTTTCTTCACTTTGCTCAAGATGAGCGTGCTGACCACCCGCCTGGGTCACTGTTCAGCTCCTCCGCACCCAGAGCTCCTGGGCACCTGAACAAGGCTGTATGGATTCTGCTTCCGCAGCCAGAAAACAACTAAGTTTAGAAGCAGCGAAGGAAGGGGGAGGAGGAAGAGGAGGAAGAAAAAGAGGAGGAGGAAGACGAGGAGGAGGAAGGGGGCATTTACAGTGCTTAGGAGTGACATGGTAACCCAACCCCAGCCCTTGTGGCCCGCCACAACGCAAAGAAGGAAAAGCTGCAGGTCCCACAATGACCCTTCTTAGGCTCAAAGAAAAAGATTCTTTTTCTTTCTTTCTCCTCTCCCCGACCTCCAGGCAGCCTAGGACAGCCGTGAACTTCCGAAGCTCTTGAGTGCTGGACTAGAGGCATGTACACTGTGCAGTGCTGAGAACTGAAACCAGGGCTTTGTGCATGCTAGCTACAACCAACTGAGCAACAACCCAGCACGAGAACATTCACATTCAACTAGAAAAAGAAACATGGGTGAATTTTCACTCCGAAAATTTCTTATTTATAAACATAGGAAACTTCTCACAGATGACAAAGAAACAGACTGAGAGGGACAGAGGTTGATGGGGAGAAGTGGCAAATAAATTAGAACCAGATTTGGGAGAGCTACAGTAAACTGATTCAGTGTTTGTTATTACAGAAAAGGACTTCAAAACATGTGAAAAAACAAAAACCCTTCTGAATTGAGCCTAGTTCTGTGGGTTTCTAAACACTGAAAACAGGAAATCAGTAACAGAAACTTGTATTAACACAACAGGAATTTAAAATATCAGCTAAATATCTCTTTGTAAAAAGGCACATTGATTTTAAGAGCCCAATGCTACTTCAATCTTATAGAAGTGAATTAGTCACAGAAAAGGGAGGAATTAGGCAAAGTGGATTATTTCCAATTCTAAAGAGAGAAAATACAGGTCCCTATGATTACAGAATTCATTTAAACTAAAATGATATTTCACAGCCACAAGTCAATGTTTTTTCATTTGGATACTAATTCATGGATCAGGGCCATGTTGAAAGCACAGAGCACTTCATGAATCTTTGGTCACTCCTGTGCAGGGCCATGATAATCTTCTCTGTATTGTTCCAATTTTCAGTCTATGTGCTGCTGAATCAAGCAGTTGAAGTGGATTCCAACGCTTCAGTTTGTAAACGCCCAACATGGCTGGATTTTACACCCATCTTTAGTTAATGAAAAGTCCAGAATCAAGACATTTTGGACAGACTATACTAAGTTTAAGGGTAACCTTTCTATCAACAAGTCAATTAGCAAAGATATACTGAAAATATCTGGCTTGAGAAGGATGATTTATTTCTGAATGACACACCCCATTCCCATGAGGAGAGACAGGGACATCCCAGTAACAAATACAGGCCTAAATACATCACCCTGTGGCAAAAAGGTCAAGTCACAATAGTACAGCATGCAGCCCCTAAGAAGAAAAGTAGAAACTCACTATGTAGATGAGGCTGGCCTCGATCTTACAGAGATCTGCCTGCCTCTCCCTCCTGAGTGGTGCCATCATGCCTGACAGTTATGGACTTTTAAAATATTTTATTTATTGTTTTTATTTTATGTGTATGCGTGTATTGCCTGTGTGTAGGTAAGTGCATCCGTGTCGTGCAATGCCTGCAGAAGACAGAAGAGGCTTTCAGATCCCCTGGAACTGGAGTTATGGACAGTTCTTAGCTGCCATTTGGGTGCTGGGATTTGAACCTGGGTCTTCTGCAAGAACAACCCGTGTTCTTAACTGCTGAGCCATCTCTCCAGCCCCAGTTCTGGACTTTTAAAGGAAAAGAAAGCTAACTGAAAAAAGGGGTTTGTTAGAAAAATAAATCTTTGGGTAAAATACTAAATAAAAACACTATAAAATATATTAAAACACAAACACAAGCTAGTCATGGTGGCTCATGCCTGCAAGTCCAGCAGTTGGGAGGCTGTAGCAGGTGGATCCTCAGGAGTTCAAGGCCAGCCTGGTGTACATGTGAGTTTCAGGCCAGCCGAGGCTACAGTGACACGTGTCTCAATAAAACAAACAATAAAAAAGGCAAAAGAGCTGAGGAGACATCTCTCCAGAGACGATGTACACAGGCAGCCCGTAAGCAGGAAAAGATGCTCAGCACCTTATCCTTGGATATCTGCAAACGCAGACAAGATAGCATCCAACAGCTGTTGGAATGGTATATACCCAGAACACTGATTACACCAAAGGTGGGCCATGGGGGTTGAGTGAGCAATTCGCATCCTTTGCTGCTGGGAATACGGAAGGGGCCAGCCACTCTGAAAGACAGCTTGGCAGTCCCTTCCAAAGTTAAACATACTTTCCACATGATCCAGCAATCACACTCCTTGGTATTTGCTCAAATGAGCTGAAAACATGTACACAGGAAAACCTGAATGTCAGCCTTTATAGCAGCGATACTCAAGGCTGCCCCAAACTGGTGGAAACCAAGATGTCCTCGACAAGCCAGCTGTGGAGGATCCTACAGCGACATAGTTTCATCTTTTAAGAAATGGATGCAGAGCCAGGCATGGTGGCATACATCTTTAGTCCTAGCACTCGGGAGGCAGGGGCAGGTGGATCTCTGTGAATTCAAGGCCAGCCTGGTATACACAGTGAGTTCCAGCCCAGCTGGGGCTACAGATAGACCCTGTCTCAAAAAGATAGACCCTGTCTCAAATAAATAAATCAATAAATAAAAGAAATGTGTGCATGTGCAAATGTTCATGCGGGTGCAGGTGTGTGTGTGTGTGTGTGTGTGTGTGTGTGTGTGTGACTGCACTTGGAGGCCAGAGGCTGACATCAGGTGTCTTCCTCAGTCGCTTTCCATCTTAATTTAAAAAAAATATTGTAGCTATTATTTTTATGTGTATGAGTGTTTTGCCTGCATGTATGTAAGTGCACCTGTGTCTTGCAATGCCCATGGAGGTCAGAAGAGGGAGTCAGATCCCCTAGAAATGGAGTTATGGATGACTGTTAGCCCTCATGTGGGTGCTAGAACTGAGCCTGGGGCCTCTGCAAGAGCAGCCAGTGCTCTTAACCACTGAGCCATCTCTCCAGCCCCCTCTCCACCTTAATTTTTGAGACAGGGTCTCTCACTGAACCTAGAACTCAACTGATTGGTTAGAGTGGCCAGCTGGGAGCTCTGGGGATCTCCCTGTCCCCAGTGCTGGGGTTACAGACATGCGTGACTACACTGGGCTTTCAGTGGGTGCTGGAGCTCCTCAGGCTTGTTTGGTGAGCTCCTTACTGACTGAGCCGTCTCTCCAGATCCCCACAATGAATATTATTCAGCGATAGGAATAAAGGAATTGGGATTTGAGAGATGGCTGGGTAGGTAGGGGTGCTTGACAAGCAAACATGATGACCCAAGTTCAATCCCCAGAACCCACATAAATGTGGAAGGAGAGAACCAACTCCTCCATATCCATGCCATGGCCTATGGCGTAAATGACCCCGAACTCCCAAGCATGCACGCATACATGAAATTGTTTTGTTGTTGTTCTTTTTGAAACAGGGTTTCTCTGTAGCCCCAGCTGTCCTGGAACTCACTATGTAGACCAGGCTGGCCTTGAACCCACAGAGATCGGCCTGCCTCTGCCTCCCAAGTGCTGGGACTACAGGCATGTGCCACCATGCCCGGCTTCTAGGGAAAAAAAGGGGAGGGGGCAGGTGCAGGGCGTGGTGGTACACGCCTTTAATCCCAGCACCTAGGAGGCAGGCGGATGGGATCTCTGTGAGTTCGAGGCCAACCTGGTCTCCATAGCCAATCCAGGCCAGCTAGGGCTACAGGGAGACCCTGCTTCAAAAAGACAAAAAAAAAAAGGGGAGGGGGCAGGTGCAGGGCGTGGTGGTACATGCCTTTAATCCCAGCACCTAGGAGGCAGGCGGATCTCTGTTCGAGGCCAACCTGGTCTCCATAGCAAATCCAGGCCAGCTAGGGCTACAGGGAGACCCTGTCTCAAAAAGACCAAAAAAATAAAAATAAAT